CAACTGAAGTGTCCTTATAATATGTCAGGATGTCTAGAATCACTCTAGGGTTGGTAACATGTATTATTACTAAATGTCACATATCAAATCTCTGCAAAGAAAAAAACGTCCGATACTTGACTTTGTCAAGTATTTGGATGTGACCTGCAGGTTGTCCTCCAAAAACTTGCAGTATAATCGGAGGTTTTACATAAAAGCCTTAAAATTCAGGGGACATACGTCAAAAGCCAAAACATGCAAAAGCACACTCTTACCAAAAAATGCAAAAGCACACTCTTGCAGCGTACTTTTTTAAAAATCAGCAAGTTTTGTATTCCCAAATCAAGCGTGATTGCAATTGCGTTCACTCCGACCTTTTCCAACATGCAGCAAGAGTTGGACTTGGTCAAGTGGTAAGTCCCTTCACAAGATCTCAGGGAATCTATAAATGCCCAGGTTCCCACTTCATTCCCTCATTCCCAGCTAAGCACGAGCAAGAAGGTGTTGGGGGGTTGAACCTGCTGAACCTGCGGGGCGGAGCCTTGGAAGATCCTGGATCTGCTGGTGGGAAGGTGGGAGGATGGGAGGGTGGTCCAAATTCGTGCCATCAACTTCAAGCTCAATGCTTGGGCCGTACGTCTGGCATGTTTGGATGTTGCAGAGCACTTCAATGACCTATCACTTACCGTAGCTTTTCTTATTGCCGTTGCCAGCCAGGTTGGGTTCTACCCTCAGAGTGACAGTTGCATCTTCACATCAACTCATGACTCAATCCTTTATTCTAGTCAGACTGACACTCAGATTCGGTTTCTCTTCCTGTTCAGATTCACAGTCACTCCTTGTCACATTCATATTCAAATTCCGGATTCAGCGTAGGATTCTTGATGGAGCTCATTTCCAAGGAATGGACGCTTGTCTTTTTGCACTTCAATATCTTCGAAGTGCGCCCGGCGCGTTTGGAAGTTCTGAAGTTTATGATATGAGCGAATGCACCTGGATTTGTGATTGGCTTACTATATCTGCAGCGGTCTTAGCTCTTTCAATCAGCCATAAGACCTTCACCGTCCATCACCACTTCTGAGCAATGGTGCGCCATTCCACCACTTCTGAGCGGTATGAGCACAAGTGGAAGACACATGTTGCAGGCGGCTACAAGTGCCTCAGTTCAAATTTTGAGCAGCACGTGTTTCCAGGCCCGATGGCCATGCCAAACCGCTCAGGCTCCAACATTTGAGATGGGAGGGGGACGAAGTGACGGAAATCTGGACGAGGGACTTTGAGAACAAGGGCCAGCAGATCCAGGGCCTGAAGATCCAGCCGAAGGTTGAAATAAAAAAGATGCCGGTGGAACCAGAGAAGAAGAAGGCCATGAAGGCCATGAAGGCGATGAAGGCCATGAAGGAGACGAACGCAATGAAGGCGAAGAAGACAATGAAGGCCAAGACGGCCAAGAAGTAGATACGGCCAAGAAGGTCCGAAATAGGTGTCAGACAACCATCTGCCGAGCCAACTTGAATGAAATTGAGTATCCTTCTAGACCCAATCAATGTCGAACTCAAAGCTTTCATCCGCCAAGCTTATCGTGTTTTGCAAGCATGACAGGTGCTGGTGCAGACAGAAGGCAAGGCAGACAAGTGTCAAAAATGGGTTCTTGATCCATTGGGAATCCGAGTTTGACAAATTAAATGATACACACATGTCCCACGTGGTTTGAATCTGAAACAATGCGCAAATGTCATGTGACAGTGTGTCCATTGCTTTTGGCAAGGCTTTCAACCAACAAATCGTTGACGTTGGCAGGTCAAATCGTAGTCGAGCACGCGCACTTCGAGGTTGCGCAGGTGGCTCCGGCATGCTTTGAACCAGTCGCAGTTGACAAACCAGTGCAGCGGTTGATTTGGCAAAATTTGGCAACATGTTGACTGAACATTCAGACTCAGAACGATTTCAGACCCAGCCCAAAGTCTGCACAAAGCCAGACTGCACACAACAAGCATAAGCCAGGCCTCCAGAGAAATCGTAAGCCAAATGGCCAGCGCTGACAAGGATGGTGCTTTAACTGCGGCCGACCCTCTGGCCCGTCAGCCAGACCTGCTTGATCAAGGTGCTAGATCATGGAAGAAGCTTGAGGCCAAGGACGTGCTTGGATGTATTCAGTGGAAGCCTGGGACGTACACCGTGGTCGTTTCGGAAGATGGCACTCCTGTGACTGAGAAGGAGGTTGGGGGTGGCCTCCAATGTGGGAGTTTTCAGTAGACTTGAGAAAGGCTTAGGCTCGAACCAGGACCAGGAACCTTGTCTTCGTCCCAGCCTTTGCCTTTATCAAGTCGATTGACAAGTGCCACATGACACAGACTAAATGGTCGGCGATATTTTTGTGATTGTAAATTTTGTAAATTACCGGCGTCATCTTTTGATTGAGTGTCAGAAAGTTGTTGCCGGCCACCAGGCGTATCATCCGATGGCTTGGACATACAATTTGTCCATCCAGGGTCCTGGCCGAGATGTGAAGATTAGCGGTACCTTGAAACCTTTGAAGAGGTCCGCAGATGAAGCTGGGCTTCCCCCTGCTAGGCCTTTCACAGTGGTTCGAAGCTGTGACACAATGATGGCCCAGATCCGAGAAGACGCACGACGTTTGGACGAGACGAACCAGGAGGTACAGGCCACTCAGGAGTTCGATACGGTCTTGGATGACTAAAGCCCTACTCAATGACTTGCTGCCGCTTGATGTTCCTGAGATGAAAGGATGCCGGCTTGATCAAGAATCCTAGCATGGCTAGATTTTGTGATGGTCTTGTGGGCCTGGATTTATTCATAAATTGCAGTGGATGGAAAAATGCGCATGCAGCTTGGTTGATGGCAGCGGGCATGTCAACTTCAAACTCATGTTCATGTGACAGCCAAACTCACATTCAAGCTCATGTGATTTATGCGACAGCGCAATTCAAATTCAAACTCAGTGGCAAACTGTTCCATTTTTAGTTGCGACAAGTTGAATTGCAAAATGAGGTTCACGTTTCCACCTTGCAGCGAATCATGCAGAAATTGGGTTCAGCATCATTTGGAATCAGGTAACGAAGTTCGTGCTGACTTTGAAGGCGAGCAAACGTTCATGTCTTGGAAGGCTTCATCCAAGAACATGCCGAATTTCATTTTCAACGTTCCAACATGCTTTACTGCAAAATCTTGTCACTTGAAAACATTGGGGAGTGAATTTCTGGCACGAAGATTCGTGGGACGGTAAAGATTGAAAGAAATCAGAATCGATGGAATGAAGGAAATCAGAATCAATGTCGTCATTAGCTTTGAGTTTAGTTTGAACCTTTCACAGCTGGTAGCGAATTCGCTGGGGAAGGATATTGCGTCCACAAGACTGCTGCGTGCGAGCTTTTGGCTTTCAGGCTGGCCGGCGACTGACTGGGCATTGAACAGTCCAGAAGTTTCGAACTCAAACTTGACCAACAACCTTGCCGCATTCAGAATCAGATAAAGTCAGTGTCAGGCGCTACTTCAAAAAGACTCCCCAGGAAAACGTGACCACAGACAGTAGTAGACTGTTGAAGGGCTAAGTAGACAGTTGCAGACAGAAGTAAACAGTGATCAGGAATCAGGAGGGGACCTTTTGTATTCTGCCATGCTGCCTTGGAGGAGACCTGGTTGGAAGATGATGATGATCCTGTCCCATTTCCCATGTGTCAGAGCCAAGGCTGGGTTTTGAACTTGAAGGGCTTCATTGTGGGTGTGGGCAAAGTTTTTCATCACGTGTGAAACGGCAAAGACTGTCATTGGAGTGCACTTCATTGCAACCATTCAGAGTCATTGTCAACTGGCATTGGAGTCACTGTCACGGTGCATTTGTTTTCAATGCTGCTAAGTTTGAGAATTCATGCCTTGATGCTGCCAGATCATTGTCACCGACCTTTGTCATTGACACAAGTCATCAACTCAGCATTTGAGCTGCTTCTCGACTGCTGCTGTGGAACCTTTTGATTCTTTCATTGTTTGAATACCATTTTCGGTTGTTTCAGGCTGCAATTGGGACGCGGCGGCTGCGCTTCACAGGTTGGAATGTTGGTGTCGCAGGTTACAGTTTCGCAGGTGTCAAAGCCCGCATAAGC